GACTATGATCTGTCCTAAGTTATGTGTGTGTTTGTGGGGGGGTGAGATTTAATTTTTTTCTAATTGTTCCTCCACTATTTGTTTTGAAGACTTTACTTTGCTGTTGGAGTGCCTTAGTGCTGGTGTTGAGAATAATTTTAAGATTCACTCTCATTCTAGAATCTCCGTCACATTGATTTGTTTTTATATCTTTAGGCCAGGACATCAGGTAGGCAAGTCCACTAATTTCGTTCTTCCTTTTAAATATTACTTTGGCTATTCAGTCCTTTGAATCAGTTTTCATATAAATTCTGGAATGCACTTGTTAATATCTACTAAAAATCTGATTGGGATTTTGATGGAGATTGCATATTATTATTAGATCGAATTGGGAAGAACAAGCATCAGTTGTCTATTAATAATGACAGTTTAAAAATTCTTCCTTTTTGATCTGTCGTCTTTTGCCTTCTTGACCTCTACCATTGTGTAGAGACATCAAGGACAGACATTCTTGCCTGTTCTTGATGTTAGAGGGAAACTTTTAATATTTTATCATTAAATGTGCTATAACTGGAGGTTTTTTAATCAGGTTGAAGAAATTCTGTTTCTAGTTTGCTGAGATTTAAAAAAAATCAGAAATGGGTACTGAATTTTATTGATGCTTTTTCTGCATCTATTGAAATAATTATGGTTTTTATTTCTATTTTATTATGAATGAAATTGACCTTTAAAAAACCATTTATTGTGTTTGGGATTTTATTTTCACATGGCCAGTTTTTCCATGAATGTCCTTTTCCTGTTCTGGACCCAGGCCAGGCCACGGCCCCTTGTCATGTCTTTCTCTCTCCTGTTCTGTGATGGCTTCTCAGTGCTTCTTTGTATTTCCTGACCTTTTGTCAGTCAAGAAATGGTCACATATCCTGTAGAATGTCTCCCAGTCTGAGTCTGTTTGATGCTTTTCACTTGATTAGACTTAGTTAGGTATTTATTAATTTATTTAAACAGAGTTTCTGTCACCCAGGGTAGAATGCTGTGGTTTCAGCCTAGCTCACACCTCAAACTCCTGGGCTCCAGCCTTCCTCCTGCCTCAGCCTCCTGAGGAGCGGGGACTACTGGTGCCATGACCCCTGGCTAATTTTTCTGTTTTTGGTGGAGTCTGGTTCTTGCTCCTGACCTCAAGCCTTCTCGAGTGCTGAGATTATAGGCGTGAGCCACTGAGATTATGGATTTTTAGAAAGACCACTACAGAGGTAAAGTCCCTTCTTATTCCTCCTTACCACTGGGTTAGAGGGATATGCCTACATCACTGGTGATTTAACCTTGTTTAGGTGAGACAGTGTCTGCTGGTTTCTTTATCATTATGTGACTATCTTTCCCTTTCCTTATTCTGTTCTTTGGAAGCAAGTCACTAAGTCTAGGCTACCTTTGATGGGAGAGAGGAGAGGGATTTAAGCCCTGCCTCCTGGAGGAAGGAAAGTGTCTCCCTATATTTGGGCTAATTCTCTGGTAAGATTTGTTAAATGGACTGATTTTTGAATGTTATTGATAATTCTCCCTTGTGCTTCTGGATAAACCCCACTTGGTCATGATCTGTTTCTGTTTTTATTCTGTTGGATTCCATTTATTTTCTGAAGGATTTTTGTGTCTGTATTAATGAAAGATACTGGTGGGTAGGTTTTTTTCCTCATATTTTTTGCATGATTTGATTGCTTAATCTTTCCAACTTATAAATTTTCATTGTTTGGTAGCCTTAAAAATGCTTGGGAAATTTTTCTATAGAAATAAGAACACACCCCCCCCCCACACACACAAGCATACACTTCAGAGAACTACCTATTGTTTCTCTGTTCACATTTTGATATAGAATATTGAATTTTCCTTAAACATTGAGATTATAGTTTCATTTTAGAATTAGCTGGAGCACTTCAAAATATATACAAGTCTGAGTCTTGTTCTTTCATAAGCGGTTTTTTCTTTTGCATGTAACTATTCGTTATAAAGTTTCTCTAAGTTTTTAAGTACTTTTCATAGATGATTTTCATGTATACCCCTTTTTAAGAATGAAATCTTTCAGGTTTTTAAAATAGTAGCTAAAAATCAACCTTTGAATATTTTTGGCAGTGTCTGTAATGAAATCAAAGGTTTATGTATTTAAATTTTTACACAGTATAATCATAGGATAATTTGATTTTTATATTGTAACTTAACATTACCCTTCAGTGGAATTTTGCCTCTGAGTGGAATGCTAGGTTTTATATATATATATATATATTTTTTTTTTTTTTTTTGGCTAGGTGGTATTTTTTAAAAACTATATAGAAGGTCAGCATTTTGGCAGATGGGTTAGTTAATTTTATAAATCATATGGCAAAGGTCAGTGCGTTTTTTTTTTGAGACAGAGCCTCAAGCTGTTCCCCTGGGTAGAGTGCCATGGCCTCACAGCTCACAGCAACCTCCAACTCCTGGGCTCAAGCGAGTCTCCTGCCTCAGCCTCCCAAGTAGCTCAGACCACAGGCGCCCGCCACAGTGCCGGCCATTTTTTGGTTGCAGCCATCAATGTTGCTTGGCAGACCCGGGCTGGGGATTCGAACCCGCCACCTTAGGTGTATGTGGCTGGCGCCTTAGCCGATTGAGCCACAGGCGCCGAGCCGGTGCGTTTTTTTAAAGCCCTGTATTTAAAATAAATAAGTAACCAGCTGCTGAATTAAGTCCAGTTTAGTAAATGTTGTCATGTGGTCTGCATTTGAGCAAGTGGGGTCAACCACACTTGGGTGTCAGTGTGAGTTTAAGGCTTACCTAATCCTTGATGTGATTCAAGATTTGACTGGGCCCCACAGCTTGGACCAGAAGTTAGCTTTCTAGGGCACTTCAGTCCAAAAACAACCTGTGCTGTCCGTTTGTGGTCATAGCCTTACTATTTTGACCACTGGTCACTGGTGTAATTCTGTCTCTTGGAGAATGACGTGTAAGTGGAATTACTGTGACGTATGAGCCTTTGAGATTGATTCTTCCACCCAGGGTGATTTTATCTTTGCTGCTTCTGTCCAGTGTGTCAGCAGGTTGTTCTTTCTTGGTGCTGAGCTGCACCCTGTGGTTCCAACGGGTCACAGCTTATTCACTCATTCATGGGTCACAGCTTATTCACTCATTCACGGAAGGACATGTGTTTCCAGTTTTGGTGATCCTCAATAGGGTTGTAAACATTTTTCTACAGGTTGTTGTTGAATATAAAGTATCATTTCTCTAGGGTAAAGATCTAGGAATGGGATTCTCTGGGTGCTAGACTAATTTGTCCCCTCTCCCAAAGGCTGTATTATTTATTGCAAAGAAACAATTTTTAACTTTTTTTGGTTCTCTTCAGATTTCTTAGATTGGGATTTGGATACAGAATAAACTGCATTAATATCAGTGCTGCCATGTTTTACATTAAACTTTCTTTGGAAAGTCTTTGAACTGTGATTATAGTTGCTAGTTGAATTTAAAAGGACTGTCCTTTGCTTTGTTGGTAGTGATCGCTTCCCCTTCCTTCTGGCCTTGCTACTCACTGAGGCCTGTGGACCTGCAGTGTTGGCTTCACCTGGAAGCTTGTTAGATAGAAATGCAGAATATCAGGCTTCACCCTAGACCTGCTGAGCTAGACCCTGCTTTTTAACAAGATTTTGGGTGATGGCTCTCAGCATTCCCTCGGAGAAGGGCTGCTCTAGAGGCTACCCTGCGGGGGGCTAACTTCCGTTCCCCTGACAGTGTGGTACTGAAGGTGCCTAGCAGGATGCCTCTTGGATGTCATGTGTTCTGATTTTAAATATTCAGTAATACAGAAATAATGGTGTCAAATCACCAAAAATATAGAGCTTTTGGTGCTTTAAAATTCTACAACAAGCTGACCATGAAGGAGTGAAAGAGGGTATTGCAATCGTTAGACTTAAGATAAAGTTGTAATTTAGAGTCAGCATTTTATTTTCAGGTATTTGCACTCCTGCAGATGTATTTCTACTTGTAGGATTTAAAGTAAGGAGGGTGTGTATTTGCAGTTGATCTTTTTACGAGAAAATGTTGAGAAAGGGACGAATACAAACGTGTGTTACTGATTTAATTTTTTTCTTGAACTTTTTCCAATACCGTTTATTATTAAGAGTAAAAAAAAGGTTTAAAATTATAAATCATGACAATAAAGGGGCAAGTGAATTTTCTTTAAAAGTATTTAAATGACCCTCATATGCCATAGGTGCTTGTCTTAGTTCTAAGCGCGAGTCACTGAGACTGACTTGGGCTGAGCAGTGAGCATTTCAGTCGGTATGTTGAGTGAGTGATGCTTGGCAGTAAGAATTGTCTGTTAAGAAATTACTTTTAGTTTGGGGGAAAACTTTTGTGGCAATACTGATGGAATAAAATTAAGTAACAGCTGGTTTTGATGTTGTAAATACATGACTGAAGGAAAAAGTAGTTTCCCTCTTTCTACAATCTCAGCCAAAGGCAGTGATAAGTTAACTCTATTCAAGGAGAATGAGGCAGATCAGGAGGGAGGGAGGGAGGGTTTTGGAGGTGGGCTACTTGTCTGGCGGTGAAGGTGAAGGTAGAGACCAGGAAGTGTCCAGCCTGCATTACTGGAAGGAGTGTGATGGCATCGTGTAAGTTACAGAGTGGGTTGTTGCTCATAAACTCATAGAACTCTAGTATTACTTTAATTAACAAGTTGAATTTTTGCTATGATCTGTGTTGAACTTGAGGCAATAGGTCTAGGAGGAATTCTTGGAAATTATGTTTATTCTTGCAAAAGTATAAGTAATAACAATGTATGGGACTTTGTATATTAATTGCAAGCAGGAATTTGAGCTTTTTGAACATGAATTTTTGATACTTGAGATCATTTTCTTCTAGAGTCAGTGTTTCACAGGGCCTTATAATAAGACATTTCGTGTTCTAAACATTAACAACCAAAAAAAAATAGCATTCTTTAATATTTAATTCAAAAGAGTATGAACTCACTCTTTCCCTTTTTACTTTGTGTGTCTGGAATGTAGGGAGGTATGGAAACGTTGGAACTCCAAAAAGATATCAAAGAAGAATCAGATGAAGAAGAAGATGACGATGAAGAATCTGGAAGATTACGTTTCAAAACTGAAAGGAAAGAAGGAACAATTATTAGGCTCTCAGATGTAACTAGAGAGAGAAGGAACATTCCAGAAACTTTGGGTAACCTTTTTTTGCCTGTCTCCATCCTTCTTCACTCTCATTTCAGTTTCTTTGTTGTTAAGAAATCATATAGGAAAAGAAATCTTGACCGTGGATGACTGTGGGTGCCATCCAGAGGGCGGATGGTGTGTGTGGGGGTCAGTGCTCAGTTGGGGTGCTGTAAAAGCCATCCTCTAACTGTTGTTTCTGGATTAAAAATATTTGAATGAAACGCTTAAGATTTTTTTCTTAAAAAAGTTTTTCCTTCCTTTCTTTTGGTACCTGCCAGGTAGCTTCTGGCTGGTAGAGTGAGTGGCACAGGGATGGTAGTGACTGGCCCATTTGACCCCTGCCTAGATCTCTGGGGTTAATTCTGACCAGACTGGTTTTAGTTGTACCTTTCTGTGTTTACCCTTGAGTATGTTTGTAATTTCATAATTTTTGTTTCATCCCTGCATCTTTTTTAAGGAAATTTGCGTTATCTCATTGTTTTCAGCATTACTTACACTTTTATTTAAAGAACTCACATCAGATATTTTTTCTTTTTAAGACATCTGGCACCTTTATAGTCCCATAAATCTGAGACAAGAGGCTGGAAAGGTTGATTTGTGGTGGACAGGTCCCTTTGAGTGGGGGAAGAGGGCATGGGGTCCTTAGAGGCAGAGTGGTCCTAAGCATAAATAGTTTGACTACTTACCATTCTTTTAAACGTTAAAAAAGGACTTAAATGCATTTGTATAGCATGTGATTATTTGGCTAGATCAAGGGTCCTCAAACTTTTTAAACAGGGGGCCAGTTCACTGTCCCTCAGACTGTTGGAGGGCTGGACTGCGGCCCTGGGATGCGTTGGCTGCTAAGCAAGACAGGCAGCGGCCTCAAAAACACGCGGCAGGCCAGATAAATGTCCTAGGTGGGCTGCATGTGGCCCATGGGCCGTAGTTTGAAGGCGCCTGGGCTAGGTAATAGAGCAAGTGATTATGGTTCTTAAAAGTATAGGGTGTCCTGGGTCATGGACAGACCTGACTTACGAATGGGTTCCCAAGGATCTACGTAAGGAGAATTTATAATGAAGTAATTAAATTAGTAAATCAGGAGCTGGTTTCTTCTGTGCATGTAAATAAACCTGCATGGCATAAACAGTTTGTGGGCAAAGCATCTTTATCCCCCACCCTCCCTGGTCTTACACTCTGTACAGTCACTCGTGTACAGTGACACTTCTCGTCTTTCCCTTTCTTATTTGATTTTATGTCAAGTAAGAAGTGTCTATACTTTGAAAGCACAAGTCCACTGCAAGTCCAGGTGAGCCTGCAGCAAAGAGAAAGGTGATGACAATGGGAACAAAACACAGAAATAGAGAGTTCTCTTCAAAATCTAGGACAGCGTTTTGGCCGCTGTGGTCTCTTTTCACATTCAGATACATGTGAAGACTATTCATACATACGATAGTTTCCAATTAAGGAATGAAGTGTATGGTTTTGGGCTTTCATCTAATGAAATCTTAATTGATCAGGATTTTTTTTCAACCAGAGTTCTGGAAGTTAAATCTTACAGAAAAAGATTTGAGTGCAGTTTTTCCAAAGATGGTGCAAAACTCTACAGGAGAAAAATTAATTCATTACATACAAAGTTTGCCATAGGGTGTGGTATCTGGATGCCAGTCGAGCAGGGGTTGCTAGAGCACAGATGTGTAAGCAATGATCTATTGCGAATAACAGTGCTCGTGGTCCCCCCTTAACACAGGTGTCACTGAGCAGCGAAAGTCCAGCCACTGTCAGGCTGGAGGTCCAGAGCTGTGTGCTTTTTTGCCCTAGGAAGTGGCCTTCAGATTGAGGACAGTGTAAGCTCTAAGGGAAAGACTGCATTTGTTTAGCGGCTTTTTTATTCATTATCTATGGGTAGGTGTTCAGATTTTGTGTTTTTCTAAATTTTCACTGGTATATGTAATATGTAAAATTACTTTTCTTTTGCTTTAGTGTAAGGAAACTACATGTTAACACATGTTTTTTGAAATAATAATTTCATTTAGGGCAAAGAATCTGGGAAAAATAGTGACAAATAGGTCAAGATTGTTAAGTACTATCCTTGGTTTAGACTCTGGGCCTTACATCTGTAAGGTATTTAAAAAGTTTTTGGTTGTTTTAAAAAATAAAAATTAGATTATCATTTGTTATTTTTATTTTGCTAAATAGTTGTATGTTGTTCTATATTTCCAGCTGTTAACAAGATTATTTACATATAGATGTATATATATTTTTTAATATTTTAAAATGGAGCAATACAGTGTAAAACTTTGTTACATTGAGCTGTATATCTCTTTGCTTTAGAATCTGGACATAGTTCACAAAACACTTAAAGGGAAATTAACATTTCAGTTGAAGTTACAAATGTAATTTCCATCCTGTCATATTTTGGTGACCTTTTGTGACAGCTTGTCTCAATTGGAGGAAAGCATTTTTACTTGCTGATTAAAGATGTCATTTTAAACCATTTTATTACTGAGGAGAGAGAAATTAATCTTGACACTCAGAACCACTAGAAAAATAATTGCTGATTCACTGCATAAAATGTATGTGTGAGAACCAATCATGTAGTCAAGATTAGAGGGAAAGTCTATGCTGGTTAAAAAAGGATTAAATTTTCTTTTCATATGAGGTCTAGATTCATTTGATTGGGGTAGGGGGATACCACATAAACAGTTTCAAGAGAATGAAATATAGTTAGAGATTTTGGGAGAGTTTAGAGGGGATGATAGTATCCAAGGTAGGAGGTAGACTTTGGTAGTAATTAACATTTACCCTTCACTCAGAAGGCTTCAGGGTGGTATTCAGTGACGTCTTCCGAGAATATGCATTTATTAATATAAGCTACATTATCTCAATTTAGATGTTACTGTAAACTAAAGGGGCCATATTTGGAGAAAATGTTTTCCTTGTGGGAGCTTAGAGTGGCACCGGGTGTAGTTTCCCTGGGCCAGAGCCTGTGCTTTCTGTCTCCCTGGGTGCGGGTGGGACAGTGAGCAGAGCCTGTGTGAGCTTTTCTCCCAGACCTTTGCTCTCCCTTGATGTGGCTCCTGCATCAGACTGTGTATGTACAGCTAGGTGAATGCACCTTTTCCAGCCTCCGTGCAGATTCAGCCTGAGAATGAACCTCCAGAGCCATCTTGCTGTAACCCTGGAGCTGGCTGTGTGTAGAGTCTTCTTCACAGAGTAAAATTTTATTATTAACTTCAAAACTTTGAGTTGAAATAGTATTAAATGAGTTTTCTGTAGTCTGTGAAATTACCTTTAATTATTTGACTCCAGAGTGAGTTCATTAATAGTTTTGTTTTTAAATGAGAATAGTCTAGAATTTGTTTGTGTGAGTCCCTGTGCCATGCATACTAATACTACTGACTTCAAATGAGAAGCCTGCAGTGGTGGGACTGACTTGCGCTGTCTGCCTTCTGTGGAAGGGGGAGTGGTTGCAGACGGCCTGGCAGTGGAAAGGCAGTTGCTACTTTAAGGTCATGTCCATCTTTTTAGCTTCATTCAGCACATTTTAGTGGTTTCAAATGAAAATAATTAAAATTTTACTGGGGTACTTGCATTTTATCACAAAGGAAGCCTGTCTTCATTTAACAGATCTCACTGCTGGGCGGTTAGTGTCTCTGTCGTATCATCCTTGCCTCTGACAGTTCACAATTTACTGTGGGTGAGCGTGGCTGTTTGGGGTTTTGTTGTCATGTATTTCTTTCCAGTTTTCTCTCATAAGTCCAGTTTGGGCTATTGGAGAGTATCTAACACATATGTATCTTTTCAAATAGAGCTTTCAGCAGAGGCCAAAGCAGCATTGCTTGAATTTGAAGAAAGAGAGCGGCAGCATAAACAGGGACGCTATGGCTCCAGGAGGGGAGGCCGGCGAGGAGGTCCGCTGATGTGTCGTGGCGTGGGGGACCAGAGGAGAGAGAGCAGCGAGAGGGGCAGGATGAAGGACCACAGACCTGCGCTACTCCCCACACAGCCTCCCATCGTGGTAACTTAGGATTTTATTGTGATAGCCTTCCCTGGAACTTTAAAATAAATGAAAGATAAAAGTGTGCTTTGTGGGTATCCTCTTGAACTTTATCTCTCGTGAGTCTGACAAAGTTTTATAATAGGAGTTAGGACTAAAGTTTCTGCCTCATAGTGACATGCAGTGTTGTGCATAGTCTTGGAAATTCAGTCCTCTCCTCCTCTAGTAGGAAGAAATAATCCCGTGTCATGACTACTTGCAAAGGAAGGGCTAGTGAGCAGCCTGATGATGACAAGCCACAGGGGCCTCACTGTTGCCTTTGGCCTCTGCAGAGATGTTTCTCTTGAGTGCACTGCATTCAAAATACTGAATTTATCACATATGGGGGTTAGGCAGTAGTTTATTTTATAAAAATATTTTTTCCTTTATTCTTATTGCCATTGGTTTTTCCCTTAAATAGCGGGGTTTTTTTTTTTTTTTTCCATTTTAACAGGTTTTTTTGGGAGACAGAGTCTCACTGTGTTCCTCTTGGTAGAGTTCCCGTGACGTCACAGCTCACAGCAACCTCAAACTCTTGGGCTTAAGCGATTCTCTTGCCTCAGCTTCCCAAGTAGCTGGGACTCCAGGTGCCTGCCACAATGCCCAGCTATTTTTTTGTTGTTGTGTAGCTGTCATTGTTGTTTGGCAGACCAGGGCTGGGTTCAAACCCTCCAGCCCTGGTATGTGTGGCTGGTACCCTAGCTGCTGAGCTACAGGAGCTGAGCCCATTTTAAGAGTTTTTTTTTTTTTTTTTGAGACAGAGCCTCAAGCTATTCCCCTGGGTAGAGTGCTGTGGCATCACAGCTCACAGCAACCTCCAACTCTTTTTCTCAAGTGAGTCTCCTGCCTCAGCCTCCCAAGTAGCTGGGACCACAGGTGCCCAATGCCCAGCTATTTTTTGGTTGCAGCTGTCATTGTTGTTTGGCAGGTCTGGGCTGGATTCGAACCTGCCACCTTAGGTATATGTAGCTGGCGCCTTAGCCACTTGAGCCACAGGCGCTGAACCTGTTTTAAGAGTTTTTAATGACAGTTGTATATAAGATTATTTTATTCCTGCATCTTTTCAATTGTGTTTTTCTTGTACTTGCCGTTTTCCTTTTCTCCTTGGTGAAATTTGACTTTCCGTTCAAGGACCTTTTTGCAGTCCACTCTGTGAGGGTGCGTGCCCATGTGGACCACTCTGTGAGGGTGCGTGCCCATGTGGACCACTCTGTGAGGGTGCGTGCCCATGTGGACCACTCTGTGAGGGTGTGTGCCCATGTGGACCACTCTGTGAGGGTGTGTGCCCATGTGGACAGTTGTGCCTTTCCCGCTGCACCCATGCAGGGTAGATGACGTGTTTCTTCCTGTACGCCTGGACTACTTTGCCAGCCTGCTGACCCCTTAACAACCTGAACTTCATCATCCTTTTGGATGGGCTTGGAACTGTTTCATCTCTTTGGAAAGAAGGGAAAGCCATCATCTTCCCACGAATGTGGGAAGGTGCATTAAAATGCCTTTTTTAGTTCTTTCTTCAATCAGAACTCGCAAAGAGATTGAGCTTCATTTTGACTGCTGCTGCTCTGGCTATTGCCACAAAAAGAAATAGCAGTTTCTCATTATCAACATGTCCTACTCATAAACATTTTTCATAATTTAGCAATAAAACATGTATTTATAATTTCAGCTGAATTAGAATTTCCTCTGTTTCAAAAAGTGACATCTCAGAAGCAAAGGGAAGAGTTGTGATTTTTTTGTTCTTTAATTAAGCTTTGGGAGTTCTTGGCTTTTTCCTTAAGTCAACCTTCAAGGGGAAATTTATTTCATGCACTTCTGTATCCACTTTGTCTACCACCTGTTCCTCTGACATGTTTATCTAAATTTTTGGGAGAACCAAACCATACTTTGCCTTGGTGTAGAAATGTTTATATTTTGGGAGGCATTCATTTGTGAAATAATGAAGTTGAAAAGATGATTTTTGTTTTAGCATAAGAATTCCAGTTTTAATGGAAGGCATGGCAAGAGAAGAGGGGTAGGTGGGCCGGTGGCAGCATAGGGAGTTCCGTGGTATTAGTGAGGGCTATTTGCTCATGCAACTGTTTTTTTCTTAAGCATCTCTAATAGCATAAAGTCTGGACCTTTAGTTTCTTTTTCTTTTTTTTACTTCCCTGCCCTCCATCCCTGCCCCAAGCCCTATACTTGCTCCATTCTGAACAACCAGTTCAGCTGTTTGTCTTCCTTCGGGGAAATAACTGTCCACAAGCTGGGTTTTGTGTGATTGCATCCCTGTGGTCCTGGGAGGGAAACTGAACTCTGTTTTTATTCACAAAGAGAGAGAGAGCATGTGTTGTCTACCTCCTAAGAGAGCTAACCAAGAGAATGTGCAAACATGTCACAAACACTGTAGAAGTTTCGGTTGGCCTGAATCTGGCAGTGATGTCACTCTGGGTCCAAACTGGCAGAGCTAGCTGAGGACTAGGAGGAAAGCAGAGAGCTGCCCTGGCCAAGGCCAGCACCACTTTGGACTGAGAGCTGTAGTCTGATCTTCGCTGGTCAGTGGGGCTGTCTGCAGTGAGCTGTGTTCATTCCCAGGTCACAGCAGCCTTGCTCATGTACACTCCCCACCCCAGAACTGTTCTGGCTCCTCCACTCTACTCTCACAGTTCTGGAAAGCATGGTTCTTGGCTCACATCTCTGCTTCTGCCTGCTTTCTCCTTGGGTGGTTCCTTACTGTCTGGGTCTGTTCTTTCTAAGTATCCTGACTTGGGCTGTCACAGGTGCCCTCTGCTCTTTGTCAGGCTCCGTCCTGTTGGACCGTGCTCTGGGCCCTTGGCATCCCTCAGCATGTCTTTTTTCTTGCTTAGCTCTTTTTCAGGTGCATAAGATTTCAGGTGTACTGTCCTATCTTCTAGAATGGTCTCTTCTTTCTCTCCTCTGATTTCCCTTTTTCTTTCTTTTTTAATTTAAATGTTGATTTCTGCTTGACAAATAATTGTATGTATTTATGGGATACAGCGTGATGACCTATCCGTTGTCTTAACATTTTTTTAAATATTGAGGATATTTCAAATCTCTTCCAGCAATTTTGAAATACCTTTTTCTTTAATTGCATTACTCTTCTGGGTTTTATTTTTAACCCTGCTTTTGGGTGGTGGTCTTATGTGGCAGCTGTGCCGTGGCTGTGTCTGCTGTCTCTGTGTCAGTCTTGGTTTCAGTCTCATCTTTTTCCAGCTGTCCTCCCTCCCATGCCCTGCCTTCTCATGTCTCTCCACATGGATGTTTCACAGGCCCTGAATGTCACTTGTTTGTAAGAACATGTGATCTTTCCTTTAAAACTCCACTGGGTTCTAGAATTAGTGATCCTGTGTTGTGGTCATTTTCAGTTAAATTAAAATTGAACTTGGGTGTGCCTGTGTTGGTGAATGTGCAGTCCATGGTGAATAAGACAGACAGGATCCCTGCTCCCAAGTGCATGACACTGATGTGATGAGTGAGAGAGGGAACGTGCTTGCCTTTGCTGCTTCTGGACTCTTGGGAAAAGGCTTCCCCAAGGAAGGGCAGGTGGGCCAAGGCCATACTCCCTCTCTTGGAAAATCCTTCTCTCCCTTCCTCCCTAAGGTCATCTTGCCTCCATCAGGCTGTAGCCCCTTCTTTTGTGCAGTGCTTGCGTAGCTCATCGGATGGTCTGTCTATTCCAGCCCTTGCCCTAGTCCATCAGTGCTGCTGAAGAGGTCACCGGGGATCCCTCCCTGCACATAGTAGAGTGCAGGCATGGAGAACGCGCAAGGCTCGGTACTTGGCAGCTGTTGCTGCTGCCGGTTTCCTCCTCTTTGGCATCTGTGGTTGGCAAAGTAGCCCTTGATCTCTGATTGCTGTGAGTGTCACATTCATCCTCGTTGTCTTTCCTCCACTTTTTACATGGCTGAAGCCACCCTGTCTCCTAGTTTACCAAGCAGAGGTCTCTGCTGCCCTGCCGCTTTTGGGGTGTCGGTCCCTCACTGTGTGGCACGTCTCTTTTTCCTTCTCTGGTGAGTTCAGATGCCACCTTCTCAAAGCAGCATCCTCCTGTCGTCTGATGGAGCGCACCTCCTGCTCAGCCTGTCCTGCTCTTAGGGATTGTACAACGGGATTCCTGTTTCTATCTCCCCTCCCAGGGCTCTTGAGGGCGGGGAGGTCAGGCTGCTGGTAGAGTTTCGGTCACAATGGCAGTTTGGTTTGTGAACCAAATGTTTTTCTTTTCAAGATTCATGCTGAGTGTTTGGGCACTATCACTTGTCCCCTCCTTTCCTGGAGACTGGCTCAGTTGTGAGGTAGCGTCCCTATTTGTGAATAGGTGGAGCAGCATATCTGCCCTGCTGTTTTTAGACAAGGTGCTTCTATAAACTTCTTAAATTATAACTTTAAAAATTGAATCAATACAAATCAGACATTTGTAACATGTCGGCATTCTTTTACTTTATGTTAAATGTTGATTTCTGTGAATTTTTCTTTTTTGTGCCATTTTTAGACTCAGTCTCCAAGATTAATTCCTCCTCCGCAGCCACAGCCACCGCCACCCCCACCGCCACCCCCGCAGCAACAGCCGATCCGGAGTCTATTCCAGCAGCAGCCACAGCTCCAGCCACTGCTGCCCCTGCAGCACCCACACCACCCTGCCCCGCCACAGGGGATGCACATGCCTCCGCAGATGGAGACCCCGAGGATCATGATGACCCCTCCTCCCGTGACCCCACAGCAGCCCAAGAACATACACATCAACCCACACTTCAAAGGGACAGTGGTGACTCCTGTTCAAGGTACACATTTTCTTCTACTGTTAGAAAGTACAGATAGCCCCTGACATTAAATGGATTGGCTTATGATTTTTCCAATTAGGTTTCCTGACTTTATAGACTGTGTAAAGGCAATACAAACTCAGGAGAAATGGTACTTGGAATTTTAAAATTTGGTCTCTTCCTGGGCTACCGATACTTGCTTCTGTACTCTCCTCTGATGCTGGGTAGTGGCACGACAGGGGTGAGTAACCTGTGCCCTGCAGTGGAGCTTGTTGCCAGATGATTTTGCCACCTGTAGGCTAATGTATGTGTCTGAGCACCTGTGAGCCAGGCTGGGCCAGGTTGTCAGATTCCATAGGTTAGGTGTATTCAGTGCATTTTTTACTTGGCATATTTTAAACTTACGGTGGGTTTAATTGGGAAGCAGTCTAGGTTAAGGAGCATCTGTAACGTTACCGGTTATTGCTAATCTGAAGGTATTTATCAGGTTATTTCACTGAAGCTATCACTGGCAGATAGTTCTCACAGTCAAGTTTGTAATGAGGAATTGTTTTCCTTGCTTCCTTCCCCATTCACTTAGACAGATTTTGGCTTGATGGCTCAATTTCTTTTCTTTAAAAATGTCTCTCGTTTTTATAATTGAGTGGAAAGAACCAATAGAACATTATAAATGTAGATAATGTATTAGAGGAAGTTGTTGAAATGTCTGAGTTGTTAGCTTTGTAAATCTCATGGTGGGAATGTTTGTAGTAGTAAGTGTCCCTCTTAGGTTCCACGCAGTGTCACCCCCTTGAATTCCTGTGTCAGCTAGGAGGGAGGGACACACCCATCTTTTAATTATTAATTGTAATGAAATAATCGGTGGTCTCATTATTAAAGAAATATGTGCCTGAAGCTAGGAAACTATTTGAGCCGTTCCTATGAAGCAGACCTTTGGCGTTTGAGCTGTGTTGGTGAGCAGGACAGACAGAAGCTTTCTGCACTTGTGATTTTGCTTTCCAGCAGATAGAGGTAGTCAATAAACAATAAGTATAACAAACAAGGATTTATATGTGGCATGTTAGCAGATGTAAACGTAGTAAGATGAGCAGGATGGGAGAAAGAGTAGGTTACACCTTAGGGTAATCTGAGGGTGAGGGCCCCCTCAGTAGGGGAGAGTTGAAGGATGTCAGGAAGTTAGCCACACGACTTGCAGGCAGCAGCATCAGCAGGTACACAGGTGAGACTGTGCCTTTGTGTTAAGTTAACATAACTGGAAGGAGACCAGCTTGACTCAGTGGGTGATGAAAGCAGAGAAGAAATGCAGAACCTGGGGCATGTGGGATCTATGGCCCATTCTGAGGACTTGGGCTTTTGCTCTAAGGCAGTGGTTCTCAACCTGTGGGTCACACCCCCTTTGGCGGTCAAATGACCCTTTAATGGTTCACCTAAATACATCCTGCATGTCAGATATTTACATTACGATTCGTAACAGTAGCAAAATTACAGTTATGAAGTAGCAACGAAAATAATTTTATGGCTCGGCGCCTATAGCTCAACCGGCTAAGGCGCCAGCCACATACACCTAAGGTGGCGGGTTCAAATCTCCAGCCCGGACCCACCAAACAACAATGACGGCTGCAACCAAAAGATAGCCTGGCATTGTGGCGGGCGCCTGTGGTCCCAGCTACTTGGGAGGCGGAGGCAGGAGACTCGCTTGAGCCCCGGAGTTGGAGGTTGCTGTGAGCTGTAATGCCATGGCACTCTACCCAGGGGGACAGCTTGAGGCTCTGTCTCAAAAAGAAAAAAAAAGAAAATAATTTTATGATTGGGTGTCACCCCAACATGAGGAACTGTATTAAAGGGTCACAGCATTAGGAAAATTGAGAACCACTGCTCTCGGGAGAAGGGGAAGGAATTAGAGGGCTATGAGAGAAGGACAGAGCAAGTAGGTTTACATTTTAAGAGGATCATCTGCTACTGCGTTGACAGGGGGCCATGGTGTGGCCAGGGTGGAAGCCAGCGTCCACCCAGGTGACTACACACGTGTGCGGGGCAGTGGTTGTGGTGCAGGTCAGGATGGCAGCAGGGAGGGCGGTCAGGTGCAGGGTGTGCTTGGCACCCGGAGCCACAGGGTTTGCTTAATGGATTAGATGAGCGTGAGGAGAAGAGAGGACATGAGGGGGAGTGCTCAGGGCACCCGAGCATCTGGAGGGATAGAGTTACCATCACCTGAGGCGGGGGAAACCAAAAGTTCTGTTTTGGATGTGTGAGTACAGGTGGGGGGTTGCTGGCATTTTGATAGTGCTAGTGCCTGCACCTGCATGAGAGCCCAAGAGGAGGGTGTTTGTATGTGGGGGACCAAGGATGGGCACTTTGGGCACTCTACCCAGAAACTGGGTTGAGGCGGGCCTGGAGAGGAGAGGAGCAACAGGAGGAAGGTGTGTGGAGGTGGGGGTCCTGCCGAGGCAGAAGTGTGGACTGCGCTTACTGGAGGGTCTGGTGAAGGGCAGGAGGCCTGAGTGTGCCTGGGAGAGTGCAGGAGCCGAGGTCATCTGTTGAACAGCTTGGATGGTGTTTTGTCCAAACAGAAGTTGGATAATTGTTGTGAGCCTGAGGGAAAGTTTTTTTATTTTAGAGTGAGAAAAGTAGCATTGCATACTTAGACGAAAGAGCTAGTCGAGAAGGGAACAAAAATCACTGATGCAGATGAGACTTGTCCTGCCCAGGAGTATGTGCACTGAGGCAGGATTGCCATGACGGAAGAGAGGGGTGTCCTTAGTTGGGGCACAGGACTGAGACCTAGGCGTAGGTGCACGTAAGGGGAACAGACTAGTGTCAGTTCTTCCCTGACGGTTCAGTTTCCTCAGGGGGTAGCAGGTAATCGGTGTGAGGATGTGGGAGATTAAATCGAAGGTCTGTGCAGAGAAGCTGCAGAGTAGTCCTTTTGGGAGGAGCAGCTGTGCCCGCAGTGTAGCAGGGCTGGGCACTGGAGGATTGTGATCCTGGGTTTGAAGCAAGCCCAGGCAGCATGGCTTTGCCCCTCTCCAGCCTCATCTGCACACGTAGCAGCTGTGGAATCTTCAGTGGGATTATGAGGAAGCAGTGGGGACCTTGGGGGTCCAGCAGACGCAGGTAGAGGTGAGGACCTGGGCTGGGGGCAGAAATGAAGATCGTTGGAGAGTCCAAGGACTGTTTTAATCAGGTCCTGGAGGAAGTGAGGTGGAAAGGTAGAAAGCAGTACTCAGAAGCAGGCTGCATGGAGGTGGAGGAGAGAAAGGCTTCAGGTGTCAAGAGAGAAAAAGACTTGGTAAGATGGTCACGTGGAATAGAGGCCAAAGTGGCATGGACTCCAGAGGCAGGTATGGGAAGGTCACTTCTACATTTATTCGGACAGGATGAGTGCTGCAGACTGGTTTGAGCCAGAAGCTGAGCTTCCTGGGACATGAGCAGAGCAGTGAGGTACTAGGGGATGTCCTGGTGCTGTGGGCTTCAAGGCAGGGGAATGTCAGCAGTGAGACCCAGAAGGAGCCTGCTCACCTTCAGCCCCTGGGTAGGAAGGCTGTAAAGAAGGACAGCTGCCCTTGGGAAGGCCTCTGGGGAGAGCAAGAAGGGGGTGACACTGAGGGATGGCATGGACTTGTTATTCCAAAAGATGCAGTTGAGAGATTTTAGAAGTTGAGAGTAGGCTGGGAGATGGCCATTGGTCTGGTACTGGGTCCCTTCTTCGCTGATGTACAGGGTCAAAAGCATTGTGAAGTTGTCCCATAGCCTTGGAGTATAGGCTGTGATGAGGGCAGCCTGGCCTTGCGTGGGAGGTGCAGGACACCTCTTGACAGGGTTTGTGGGTCACCACCAGGAGGCTGCTCTTGTTCACATCAGGCCACTCAGCATGGCAGAGAAACGTGAGGTTGTAAAGCACAGTGGCACCTCCTTGGGCTCTTCTCAGCCCTCCTAACCAAGTCCACAGCATGTCCTGTGTGCATTCACAGCTTGTCCCACCCTGGCCCCCATCCTCTGCCATGGCCCTGAGTATCTGAGGTCAGTAAGATGTCTGTCACCCTGAGTAGCTGTTGGGTTTGGGATGGATGAGTACTGGCACGTGCAGTGTCCCTGGGCAGTCCTCTGTGTGTCAGCTGCACTTGTTGCCCCAGACGTGGAGCTGCATCAGTGATTTGTCAGGATGCCTTTACTTACGGCAGCATTGGTTGTTGTGTACTTTTGTAAAATTCAGTGGAAAACGGGCAGTTAATAAGATGCATAAATTCTCTTTGGTCTAACAAATTACAGAGTGGTGAGCTATAAGGAAATCCTAACACCCTTTAGGCATGAACTCTGGGACTGGCAAGACTTTTTTGACCGTGAAGATTGTGCCATGTGTCCTTATTTTTAATACACCTCTGACCTTCAAAGCTCTGTACATTGACCCAGGGGAGAGGGAAGAATCTATCCTGCTGGTTACAGATAGGCAACTCTTTGAAGCAGTTGCTTATTCAGTAATGAATGAATGAATGAGGTTACGTAAAAAATCCCCAGTTCCTCTTAAGAGAGGCTGAATGTTAAGATGTCTCCTGTACGTATACATATAAGATATATAGATTGAACTAGTCATTCTCAAAGCCTTCTGCATGTGAACGTTACGTTAAAAATATGTATTTTTTTTTTTTTTTTTTAGTTTACAACATTAAAATCTTTTCCTTATGGCACACACTTTATTTTGAGGATGAAGAGTATTCTATTATAATTTATGTAAAGCCAATTTTCATGGAAATTTGACTTGTTACCAGATTTTCACTATTAGAGTTAACTTGTGATAAATTGAAAACTTAGTCCATGAAATACATGGGACAATTAAATATCAAATATTCAAGTTTAAGATTAACTTAGACTTGTCTCTACCATCACAAATTTTAAATTCTCCTCTTGTATTGGTAGAAGGAGGAACCTGGGCAGCTTTGTCCCTGTGTCTGGAAACCCAGTGCTCCTGGGCCGTCAGGGAGAGTTTGCAGACAGCTGCCTGCACCTTTGTCCTCTGCTTCTCCCCGGCTAGTGTCTGCTCTGCTCCTGTCCCACTGTCCTCAGCCACTTCCTTTTGTCACCTTTTATTCTTTTTCTCTTCTGTCTCTTCTATTGTTTTTTTCTTTTTTCTTTTTACATAGTTTTTTTTTCCCTTTTCCTCCAAGAGAAAAAAGGAAATGACCAGCTCATCAGAGGCTTCTGAGTAAGAAATCCATTCCTTACCACCAGCTGCTTCCCTCAGATCCCACCTCTACTTCTTCCTTCATTCTATGGGTTAAAGAGCTTTTTAATATCTGTCTTTTTATTGTATTGGAATTGTTTGATAGGTATTAACATTTAAATTCCAAGTCAGTATAAGTAGTTTATGTGATCAAGTTGTTGAAGATCTGGGTATCTAAAAATTATGTCTTTATATTATTAAATGTGTAATTTTTTTTCTCTCTCACCTTCAGTATAATATTCTGAGGTTAGAGATACTCTGGTTTTGTCTGTCTCTTTCACAGTCTGATATTTAGCTTTAGATACATAATTGCTGTACACCTAGTTGTACTGAATTGAGGGGGATCCTATCTCATATAAAATCTTGCAAATTGACCCACTCTGATTTTGAAATTTTGATTTTTTGGATTGTTTCTCAAGGGAGGGATGGTTTTCTCCCCCCCCCCCGCCTTTTTACATTCTATAAAAATAGATTTTTCTCAGTGACGTTTTGTGTTTCATGAAGCAGTGGTGCAGGCCCACACACCCTGTCACTTGGAATTGAACCTGTTGGGTGCTGTTAATTAGCAGTGTATGAAATTCCTTGAGTAACCATTGTAATAAAAAATAGTTCACCTTAGCACTCTATTTTTAAAGGAATGTTGAATGACATCTTAAAATTCAAAAATTTTTTTGAATTTTTTTCCTCCAAAAAGTGGGTCCTTCAGAGTCTTCTCTCTTTGGCTTGTAGCTGCCCACTTTCTCCGTGTACTTTCATATTACAGCCTTTTCTTTGTGTACTGGTCTGTGTCTAAATTTCCCTTTCTTATAGGGAAACCTGTTAGGTTGGATTGTGTCCTGCTGTAAAGACCTCATTTGACCATAATTACCCTTTAAAGACCTTATTTCCAAACATGGTCACGTTCAGAGGTACTGGGGTTTGGTTTTAACACACAAATCTGCATCAGTGCCCGGGGGTGACACACACAGTCCAGCCTGGAGCACCCTGTCTGCAGAGCTGCCTGGTTGCATCTGTCAGCACATTTTAATGAGAAGTACAGTTAACACTGAGGTGATGATCTATCTTTCTTTCTTTTTTTTTCCCCCAAAATCCGAGATCAATAACTTACAAAGAGCTTAGAACATATGATTTAGCTCTGAAGTCTGAAACTAACATCCAGCCTCTTCTGTATTATGAAGTGTTTTTTAAAAAATGATTTGGTTCCTTATTCTTCTGTTAGATTGATGGAAGTTCTATTTGTTTAAAAACAAAAATAAACTAACAGTCTTGAGAGTGGATGGTTGAATAGATTGTTGTCTGTAACACTCCCAGGGTGTGCTTTTTCTCCTTCTCTTTCTCTCCTCCTCTTCTTTCCTGATCTAAAGATTAAGATATAAATTTGTATATGGTGGGGGTAGAAAAATCTGACGTTCAGTAGCCTGGGTAACCTGGATAGGGATGTGTAAAACAAACTAAGTTTTTTTTTTATTTTTGAGAAATATTTTAATTCTAAATAATAGTTCTGATTTTTATAGAAAACATTAAGATTTAAGTTTCTGCTATTGTATGCTGAAAAGAAAAACTTTTACATGTCTGTCTTTTATGAAATTGTTAGAAATAATAAATGCTTAGCTTAAATTAAGTGTTGATGTATTATTATATATGTGGTACATGGAGAATATACTTGATATTAACTTTCGTGTGTTGTCTTCTCCAGCGGTTCGTGTGCTCAGTAAACCCTTGGTAATGGCAGGTGTTTTTCTTGCAGTGCCCTTGCTGCCAGTTCCCAGCCAGCCGAGACCTGCTGTGGGACCCCAGAGATTCCCAGTGAGTAGCAGCTGCTCCTTCTGCTCAGAGAGATGAGCATACATTTACTAAGAAATATTAATATAGTGAACGCAGGGGGTTCCAACCAAGTGTAATTTTAAGGACTTGTAAATATTGACAATCTCTGCAGTAGAAAATGTTTGTTGAAAGCTTAAGGTTAGTGGATTTTTGAGAGTAGAATTAATTTTGTTTAACTGTAAAATTGTTGAATCAGGATCACCAGTAAAATGGGTTTCATCTTAAAGAATATGGATTTTGATTTTATTACTGCCTTATGTATAGGTGGGAAAGGGCCCACGTGTGTGTGTGGGCGCATGGTGCGTTTGTGCATTTGTAGGTGTGCGTATGAAATTGTAGGGAATAGAAATGAGATCTGCACTTGATTTTTAAAAGAACCTCCAAAGTCGTAATGAGCCATTGGTTTATATTTTGAAATGAAGGTTTCCATTTTACAATGTATTTAAAAGAAAGCACACCTTCCCTTTCCTTCCTGCCCTCCTTGTCCACTGCCCCCCCCCCCATTTGTTTGTATATACATAAGCATGAATACTTTTGCTGTGTTTTCATAATTTTATCCATTCTGGTAAAATATTTTAGCTAGAAGAAAAATGTCCTTTAACTAGTTATATTTGTTTAAATGTATATGTTTTTATTCTATTTGAATTTTTGGTTTGATTTGTAGTTTGTTTATGGTTTTATTGAACTAGTTGAGTACATGTTTTTCAAAAGTGTGGGAAGATGTACCACATCATAAAATTTTAATAGAAAACAGAGATAGTTTTATTTAGGCTTAATCTTTTTTTTTCAGGAAATACTCAAATGGCCTGTTTGACTATTTAACTTGGATACTTCAGTGGATGACATTTATATATGCCATTTAGCAGAAAGATTTAAGTAAAGGGTGTGAGGGTATAATCAGGTGATTATTCAACAATAAAATTACTATCGGATTTAAGGTTCAGAATGTTTTTTAGAAACTTTGATTTGTACTTAATGAATTATAATTTCTAAAGTTGGTTCTTTTTTATTTTGTTTTCTTATATTGAAATATTTTTTTCCTTAGATTACTTATCAAGTTCTCAAAATTATTTTTACAGATTTAGGTGATAGTACCAATTTTTTTTTTTTTTTGAGAGGGAGCCTCAAGCTATCCCCCTGGGTAGAGTGCCATGGCATCACACTCACAGCAACCTCCAACTCCTGGGCTCAAGCGAGTCTCCTGCCTCAGCCTCCCAAGTAGCTGGGACCACAGGCGCCCGCCACAGTGCCCGGCCATTTTTTTTTGGTTGCAGCCATCATTGTTGTTTGGCGGGCCCGGGCTGGGGATTTGAACCCGCCACCTTAGGTGTATGTGGCTGGCGCCTTAGCTGCTTGAGCCACAGGCGCCGAGCCGATAGTACCAATTTTTATAAGTAGTATAGAGAAATAGTATATATTTTAATTTTTATATTTTTTACTGTTTGTTGTGATTTTGTAGAGTAGAAGTATATCATATGCATTTAACTATGTAAGAATTCAGCTCTATACCCAATTGACTAAAGAATAAAAAAAGGTAGACAGTAGGTGAAGTACCACTAGTTTCTAAATTTTAAAGGATGTATGATACATTTCTCTCTTTTCCTAAAAGTAAAGTTTTTTAAGAAAAAAGTGTCAGTTTTATAACTTAGAGCTAAGATGTCTAGATATTTTGCTAAGTGATATTGCCTCTAGTTTTTTCATTAAAAATCACAGAACTCTTCTCAGCGCCTGTGTGTGGCTCAAGTGGTTAAGGCGCCAGCCACATACACCAGAGCTGGTGGGATTGAATCCAGCTTGGGCCTGCCAAATAACAATGACAACTACAACCAAAAAATAGCCGGGCATTGTGGTGGGTGCCTGTATGGTCCCAGCTACTTGGGAGGCAGAGGCAGGAGAATCATTTGAGCCCAGGAGTTGGAGGTTGCTGGAGGTTGCTGTGAGCTGTGATGCCACAGTACTCTACCCAGGGCGACAGCTTGAGGCTAAAAAAAAAAAAAAAAATCACAGAACTCTACGCAACTTAATATGAAACACCATTTTTCATCGAGTGTAAAATTATTTTAAATTATTACTTAAAAAATTCAAATCTTAGGCCAAAATTTGGTGTTCTAGGCTATGCTTGGCGTAGTAAGACTATTTTTATTTCTTGTTAGTGAATATCATTTAGAGAATTTAATGAATAATTCCTAAAATAAAGATTTGAATGTCAAAATGATAAAATGTTGTAAGAAAAGAAAATAAGAAAAATTCTTAATTTTGATCATTTTGGAAAAATTGCTTTATCTCTTGGCACTTGAGCCACTGGTTCTTTGGCTACATTGGTCTTTGCCCTCGGGAAGGTTTTGCCCCAGTCGCTGATTTAAGGAATCCCTGAAGCACTTTGTGATTTAGCCTTCCCTCTGAAGCTGAGATTTGTGAGGGGCTTAGTGCTGAGCCTGAGAGGTTTCTTCTGACTCAAACTTTTATTTCTATTGACTATTTTATTTTTTCAAATCAGAATTATGAGTCTTTTTTTATAGTTACAGAGTTTATCTCATTGATAGCACATCAGAGAGTAAATGGTTTTCATACTCAGGTTCACATCAGAATGTTTTATCTTCTGGGCTCGGTGCCGTAGCTCAGTGGGGTAGGGCACCAGTCATATACACCAGGGCTGGTGGGTTTGAATGTTGCCCAGGCCTGCTAAACAACAAGGACAACTGTAACAAACAAATAGCCGGACGTTGTAGCAGGCACCTGTAGTCCCAGCTACTTGAGAGGCTGAGGCAAGAGAATCGCTTACCCAAGAGTTTGAGGTTGCTGTGGCTGTGATGCCATGGCACACCACTGAGGGCGACATAGTGAGACTCTTGTCTCAAAAAAACAAACAAACAAAAAAGAATATTAATCTTCTGAATTTTATATATCTTAGTTAAGTCATGACTACTACTTCACATGTGCAGTGGACACATTCCTGTGGGTGGTGTGTGGCCACCATTCTGGCCCCTCATTCGATCTCGTTCTTCTGGTGGCTTCCTGCCACTCACTGGTTCACTCATTGGAAGTGTTTCTGTTCAGGTCAGGACCTTTGAATACAATTTCACAAAACTTTTTTTTTTTTTTTTTTTTTTAAATAAGAAAGTAGAGGTGGGAGGCTGGTTTGTGTACCTTTCTGAGGGTAAGATTCTATCTTTGTTTTTATTTGAATTTTATTTTCAATTTTAAGTGTTCTTTGTTTTACAGGTTAATTATCTAATTGGTTTCTCTTTCTACAAAGGCTTACCTGATGCTTTTGTCACTAATACAAGGTCGTAGGTCCTTTTCTTACCCATAAGTATATTTTCCAGTTATCTATTTGTCCTCAAGGAAATTTTTACTTTTTAAAAAGTTTGTCCACTTAAAAAAGTAACACAAAGACGTCAGTTGTTGGAATATTTTAAGGTTGTCACTTTGAGATTTTGCAACCTAATTTGTTTTTATTTTCAGCACAGCTACTGTTTTAAAGTTTATGGATATATCCCAAAACTCACATTTTAAAGATTTTTACCTAAGGGATTTTCAGACCTATGTAGTCCTTTGATTTTGCGCTAGTATGTTGTGTTAAATGATGCTATTTTAGTTAGCCAGTTAAATATCACGTAATCTGGTTGCTGAATAATTTCTTAGTGCTCTTTGTTTAAATTAAAAATGAACTATAGTTTTAATTTTAAATTCATCTTCCTAGCGATTACATTATTACTTTGACCTGGCAAATGAGATTTGCATTTGTGTTTACTCTGTAGTTACAGCACATCACAGGTATGCGAGGAGGCACATGGTATCAGGTGGTGGTGATTGACACTTCCTGGATATGTCTTTTATGCCATTTCATGCAAATTGTGTTTGATGAGATGCTACATCAAATCACATTTCTTTCTGATTATAGCCCTTACAAGATGAGAAACCAGACATTATTCTGCATAGGAAAGAAAATCTTGCCTTTGAATACTTAACTGTTTCTACAATATGCCTGCAGTGTCTTGTAATTGTTAGCACTTAGGATAAGGAAAAAATGATGGGCATTTTCTCTTATCAGATCTATAAGTAGTAGCAGGCAAATGTGGTGGGAGATCCTTCCAGCTGTCAAATGTTGTCAGGCTTGCAAGGAAAGAATGCAGTTTAAAATGCAGGTGACATAATACCCAACATCCTCCACTTGCTAGTGGGTTTCTGATTAATCATGATTACCATACATTATCATCCCATCAAATTTAATCATATCAATGAATTCCCATCTGCAGTAGTAACAGGAGCAGCTAAACACTGTGGTAACAGCTATTAAAGAAGGCGGTTTATCAGATTCAGTAACCCTTTAACTTGCTGTCTGTCAGCACGCATTGCATGTGTTGGCTAGAGAGAGTGCTGGGTTGAAGTCCACATTAATAACTCGGAGGACAGGGAATACTCATTGAGATCATATAAAATTGGTTTCTTGAAGAGCAACTGTTGGTGTCATCGAGCTACTTGGTAAAAACTGCTTTACAAAGTATGTAGTAGACTGCAGTTGACCCTTGAACAGACAGGTTTGAATTGGGCAGGCCAGCTAGCGTGTGGGTTCTAAAAGTGAGAATGGAAACTATAGTATCCTAGGAGATCACAAATACAGAGTGCCAGCTTGTCATATGCCTGGGTCCTGCAAGGCTAGGCTTTGCATGTATATGGGGGTCCTGGAACCAGTCCCCTGAGTTTACTGAGAGACAACTGTTCAGTTTATTGGCCAAGTAAATCTGTTACATTGACATGAACACTTTGTGAGTATGTAATATATATTCATATATCATATATATAATTATCTTTGTTATATAATGTTGTATATATGGAGTTGAGCCTCAAGTACAGTTTGCCCATCTAGATTGCCAATTTAGCTTGTTGAAGTATGGAACTCCTCTCTGTGCCAAGAAAAATCTCTGTGATCTGAGTTTGGTGATGTGTCCTGCTAAACACACCAATTTTTTTTTGTTTTA